CTAGTAGAAAACCCTTACCACTCATAGTAGGAACCACAAAAGGATGGCTCATTCTGAGACACAAAGAAAAATAGGGTTATGGAGGTGGGTGAGGTAGTTTTCAAATAAACTGAAGCTATTCTGGCTGTAGGATTAGTGCAGTACCACATGATGGCCCAAAGATCTGATTTGAAGTACTTAACCAGACTCAGAGTCATCCTGACAGACAGCTGTTGATACCACCGGCTTTAACGGGAAAAAATATAAGAGTATAACGATAAAAAGTCACCAAGATTTTAAAATCCAAATATCTGAATTCAAATACCAACTCACTGCTTCCAGATTCTAAGGGCCTTCTGGGTTTCCACTTCCTGATCTTTAAACGAGACAAAAACTGTACTTAAAGGGCTTTCATAAGGATTAGACTCAAAAGTATATTGAAAAGCATTTATAACCATGACCCAGTAGTGCTGCTAATTTCCTTCTATTAGGAATATACTCTTTTTTTAATTATAAAAGTTATTTAATTTGGGCTGGAGAGATGGCTCAGAGGTTAAGAGCACTGGCTACTCTTTCAGAAGTCCTGAGTTCAATTCCCAGCAACAACATGGTGGCTCACAACCATCTGTAATGAGATCTTGTGCCCTCTTCTGGTGTGCAGGAATACTTGCAGACATAAAGCTGTATACATAATAAATCTTTTTTTAAAAAAGTTATTTAATTCACCATAGCTTAAAAACAAGAATAAACTTAACTAAGAAAGGTGTCTACTTTAAGAATTAGAAAGCTGTGGTGGAAACCCAGCACTTGGGAGGTAGAGACGGGCAGATCTCTGAGTTCAAGGCCAGCCTGGTCTACAGCACTAGTTCTAGGATAGCCAAGAGCTATACAGAGAAACCCTGTACTAAAGAAAAAGAAAAGAATTACAGCGCAATGGTCAAAGGACTAGAAAGACACACAAAATTGGAAATATCTACCATGTTCACTGTCTGGCTAATAATTGTTAAATGACCACATCACCCAAGTGATCTATAGACTCAACACTGACTGACATAAATTAGTTGACTGAATCACTTCATAAATTTTCTAAAGTTTTCTCATCTTTTAAAATGAACTATAATCACCTAATCACTTGGCAGTGGTGCAATACCAGCACTAAGAGAGACAGAAGAAGGTGATCTCTGAGTTCCAGGACAGTCTGGGCTACAGAGAGAAAGCCTGTCTTGAAAAACAAAAAACAAACAAACAAACAGCAAAAACAAAAAATTAACTCCAAACACTTAAAATTTTAGTTTCAGGTTTCCATACATCAATAGATCAAGCAGAAAAGAACTGATATCTTAGTAACACTGAATCTCTCAATGCATAGTATTTTAGATTCACATAATTTTTCTCAACATTTCTTGAATAAATATATCTGGAGCTGGGTCGACTGATTCACTCTCATAATCCTAGTATAGAGGTAGGATAATTGCTGTAAAATTCTAGTATATAACTTTTTTTCTCAATGCATTTTATTTATTTTTTTTTTAGCTTTGACAGGCCTGAAACTCACTATGTAGGAAACCACATAGTAGAAATATACTTCTTTACTGCGATAATTCTTGTTCCTTCTTTAAATTCTCGATATAGTGGTATCTAATGTCAGGAAGCTTGTCTGACTCCTCAGCTGTATTACAGACCCTTCTTACAAGCCCTCAAGCCTCCTAAGCGGATTTCAACAATGATAATGGCAGCCTTAAGTTACTGAATATGTCCTATGAGCAAAGCTCCAGCACTAACGCTTTTTAATATTAGTTGCTTTCATTATCTTAAGATGATGACTACTGTTACCATTTTACAGATGAGGAAACTGAGGTAAACAGAATGATTTGCCCAACATCACAACAGCTCTTAACAATAGAACTTAAATCCAAGTCCAGGCATGACGATCTCCAAAGCTGTGTCTTCACCGCTCTGCTGTTACATGGTTTTATACACATTGGTTTACTTGTCTGCCCTTTCATATGAGGTTCTAAGTTCCTGGACATTGGGAACCAGATCTTCCCTCTCCACATCCATGTATTAAAGTAAGAGGCACAAAGTGCTCAGTACCACTGTGGTAGGCAAACAAACGGATAGCTGAAGGACAAAGGGGAGGCAGGAAGGAAAGAACAAGCCTGCATCTCAGACGAGTGCTGACAGAAGTTGGCTATCTCTGAGACAGACACAGGACAGAAGGAAGAGGAATGTGTTGCTGGTCCAGGTAGCAGTGAGAGATGATGTGGAAGAGCCTGTCTAGCAGAGAGCACAGGCTAATTTAGTTGTTTTACCCAGTTTCTTCAGAGCCTCATATTCTACACAGACCATTACACAAACAACCCAAAGAAAAGAAGGAAAGAGGAGATTCCAAGGGGAGGTCTGCTGAAGATGGATCTCACTTCAGCCTCCCTTACTAGCTGGAAGAAACTTTGCCAGAGAAGTCCCCACCACAGGCAGTTGTGGTGGTTCCTATCCCTCGATCCTTATAATGCATCAAACCCTTTCCCCTCAATCTGTCCCCAGTGGAAATCTCCCTCAAGCTCACTCCTGCCCCTCATTTTCTCAGAGGTTAACAGTTAACAAATTACACTTCCACCCTCTTTCCAAGCCCATCGTCTTCTTAAGTTCAACAAGAGTGGAACTGGCTGGCTCATTTTAAGTATCACATTTCTCCCTGGGCTTCTCTCAAGCTGCTCTCTGGTTTCGGCTGCAGAATGTTAACAGGCAGAAAGCACAGGGGAGACAGAGTACTTTATCAGTTTCATACCTAAAATAATAAGCAAGCTTAAAGTAAACAGTTGGGAACGATTGAATGGCACACTTTACTGTCAGCAAAGGCAGAAACACTCCAGCACAAAGGTTAACAAATGCCAGGAACTGCCTTCTAGTCTCACGCCAGATCGCATCTCTGAACTCAACGTGGTTCTGATCACTTTTATAATGAAGTGAGTACTTTCCACAAGCAAGTTCATGAAATACCTTCTATTTTCCTTACAAACCTCCCCAATCAAAACATGAGTGAGCGAGGCTGAAGCTCCTGCATATACCTTCAGAGGGGGTCCCAGGCTTAACTATAGGATGATGACAATTTGCAAAAGGCCAATTTAACAGCAATTGTATTTTTCCTGCCCACTTGTACCATTAGCCGACAACCCACTTCTCCATCACATCTGCAAACAGTTCTCCTAGACAGCTCTGACATTTCCCACTTAGAAAAGCCACTTTCAGGAAGCTATTAACCTAAACGGAATCTTCCTGGTCAAGCTCATGGGCACAGAAAGGCCTCAGGTGGGCAAGTCTGTAGAATCTGGCCTTCGGTGCAGGATAAGAACTGCCAAATGGGACAGAATAGAAAATGCAGACTGAGGGCCCACAAGAAACTGCTGTTTGAGAGTGTGATTCCAAAGTTACTGATCATGACAGGCCCCACTCACTGCTCTGCACAACACTACTCCACAGGAGACAGTTGTGGAGTGGACACGTGCAGCACTCTTCCAGAACCACGATAGAGTCAACCCATGTACATTCTACAGCCCCAAAGCCAAACAGCAGGAATTGGACAAGGAAACTCCTCGGTTACAGAAAAGTACCTGTTCATAAACATCAATTAGTCATGTCAAAGCTGGGACTGACATGGTGATGGCCCCGTGTTCTTTCCCACTGTAACACTCCCTGAAACACTGGTTTAGCCACTAACCTGGTGCAGTCCTTATGTTGAGAGTCTTATTGAAATTATCCTTGAGTGCTTCCATCACAGATCTCATTTCTTCACCCACCTCTTCCAAGCTGATTATATCCTCAACCAAGGCTGTGTTAATATTCACTCTGGCCTGGGGCTGTCCTTTCCCTTTAGCTAAAAAGTGAACATTCAGTGAACAGAAGAATAGAAGCATACACAGAAATAATAAGCATTGGCTTTTTTTTAAGTGCCTACTGTGTACAAGGCAAACTGTTAAGTATTTATAAAAACATCTCTGCCCTCCACAATGTTCATATCTACTGAGTGTCAGCTAGCTCCCAGGTCTGTGCTGAAGGCTTAGCCATTAGCAAAGGCATAGGCTTGCTTTATATCAGACACTCTGGGTTACACCTGCTCTAGTGCCTGCTGGCTATATGACCTTGGGCAAGTTACTCTATCTTTGAGTATTAGGCTCTCTACTTGTAAAAGAGAACTAACACAATCTGTGATACAAGGCTGCTAAGGAATACAAATGAAGTCACACGCCCAAAAGAGCACTCTACATTTACCAGGGAATCCAGAAGTAAATTAATACCTTATTTTTCAGAAAAATGGAAGACATAAAAGGTAAAGTGACTTGCCTAATGTCACAGGTCAGGGAATAGTCAGGTCAAGATTTTGGTCCCAATCTGTCTAATTTTAAGCCCATGAACTTTCCATAAGACAATCTCCACAAATCTAATGGAGAGAAATGAAATATATTAATTCAGTTTCAAATGCATACTAAGACAAGGTTATGCTCGGCATTGTTTGGCTGACCTAGACAAAATGAACTGTAGAGATATTAAATCCTATCCGCAAGAGCACACTGGCTTGTATGTTAGAAAACCAACAGTGCTGGAGGATGGATGGAATCTGATTTCATGTCTAAACCATCAGGGGTTTTTCACATACATTCTAAAATGTGCATGTGACACATTGTATTGTATTGTATTTCTACATGGGGGTGGGAAAGGAGAAAAAAGATGAAAATAAATAGTATCTGAGTAATACAGACTATGATGCTTATTCACTAAACGTTTAACAAAACATTATTAAAGACTCTATGCTATCTGTGATTCACATCCTCATTTGCAATGCAATTTCAAATATGCTGTTGCATTTGATATTCAAAATAATTCTGAGGCAGGAAAATGAGAATTTGAGGTGCAGGCCATTTAGATAGTTTGCCCAAAGTAACCAACAAAGAAGA